TACATCAAGAGACCTGTGCTAAGGTGCTTGACCTAGTTGCACCATTAAAAATTAGGCATCCAAAGCACACTCCACACCTTTGGATGAATGAGATCAGTCGAGCAGCCAAACTTCAATGCAGGAAAGCCGAACGTAAATGGAAGAAGGTCAAACTTCACATTCCTTTTATCATGCTAAAATCATGTTACAAAGAGTACCCGGCCACTGTTAAATCAGAAAAAAACAAATATTTCTCCCAAATCATCGCCTCAAACAGCCACAATCCCCGCGTTCTTTTCAATACCATTTATGCCATTTTAACCGTGCCTCAGTCTGCCAACTGGGAGGCCTTTGCAGTTACGTGTGACGACTTTGCCAGTTTCTTTGTTAAAAAGGTTGAGTCGATCAGGCCACTGATTCCTCACACCACAGCTGACCCCTCTGTCTTTGTCCCCTCCACATCAGTCTTTAATCAGTTTGAACCCATTTCCCTCTCATTTCTAAATGACGTCATTGGTCATATGAAACCCTGCTGACCCCATCCCTGCATCGTTTTTTAAACAAGTCCTACCCTCCATTGGACCCTCTGTTCTTGACATTATAAACAAAAACCCGGACTTGACCCTTCAACCTGCTGAAACTTCAGACCCATCTCCAAACTTCCCTTTCTTTCTAAGATCCTGGAGAAAATAGTTTTCACTCAATTAAATGAGTTCTTGAGTGGAAATTCTATTCTTGAGATCTTTCAGTCTGGCTTTAAGAAACTACACAGCACCGAAACAGCCTTAGTTAGGGTCTGCAACGACATTCTTCTGGTAAATGACTCTGGTCAGTCTGTAGTCCTAGTACTCCTTGACCTTACCACTGCATTTGCTACTGTGGACCACAGTATCCTTTTATCCCAGCTAGAACACTGGGTTGGGATTACTGATGCAGCGTTAGAATGGTTCCATTCATACCTGAGCGACAGAAGTTTCTGTGTTAATTTTGTTAACACTCTTATCTACTTCAGTGTCTCTTTCCTGCGGGGTCCCGCAAGGCTCCATTCTTGGACCCCTTCTGTTTTATTTGTATTTCCTCCCCTTAGGGTCTATCCTGAGGAAACATGGTCTTTCCTTTCATTGTTATGCTGATGACTCTCAGATTTATCTGCCGTTAACACCTAACAGTTCCTCCTCCATTCGCCCTTTGTTAAAATGTCTTGATGACATCAAGACTTGGATGGCTGCGAACTTTTTGAGTTTTAATGATCAGAAGACTGAGGTCATTGTATTTAACCCTAGCTCTGCCACTGTCACTGATCCTGCAAACCTGGACTCCCTTCAGCCATATCTAAAACAGTCTGTTACCAGTCTCGGGATAGTTTTAGACTCGGACTTTAAGTTTAATAAGCAGATAAATTCTGTTCTTCAAAAAAGCTTCTTTCAGCTAAGGCAGATAGGTAAGCTCAAGTCCGTCCTGTCCAGATCCGACCTTGAAAAATTAGTCCATGCATTTATTACAACCCGGCTGGACTACTGTAACTCGCTTTATGCTGGGGTCAGTCAAGCTTCACTTTCACTTCTCCAGCTTGTCCAAAATGCTGCAGCTCGGCTACTAACAGGAACTCGCAGGTTTGAGCACATTACTCCAGTTCTGTCCTCTCTTCACTGGCTTCCTGTGCGTGTCAGAGTTGATTTTAAGATTCTTCTGCTGACATTTAAGTGTTAATGGCCTTGCACCCTCATACCTCTCAGACCTCCTTCATCCTTATACTCCTTCATGGGCCTTGAGATCATCAGACCAGCTGCTTTTGGCCGTACCAAAAACCAGGCTGAAGCTCAGAGGAGATCGGGCGTTTTCAGTCATGGGCCCTAAACTCTGGAATAATCTGCCCATCAACATTCGACAGGCCACCTCAGTCTCTATTTTTAAATCTCTCCTCAAAACACACCTGTACTCATTGGCATTTAACACAGTGTGATCTCATTTGGTATTTCATTGTTGATGATTGTGTTCATCCATTTTGCTTTTACTCCCTGACATTTAATGCAGGGTGATTTGATTTAGTATTTAATTGTTTCTCATTATATTTCATGTTTTTATGGTTGTATTCATGTTGCTGTAATATGTTGTTATTAATATTTGATGCTGTGATCTTTTTTGGTAAGCACTTTGATAACAGTTACTGTTTTAAATGTGCTATATAAATAAATGTGACTTGACTTCATGATTCCTTCTGCTGAGGATCTGTATGGAGATGCAGATTTCATCTTCCAACAGGACCTGGCCCCTGCCCATGCTGCCATGAAGCACCAAAACCTGGTTTGATGCCCATGCCACAGTGCTAGACTGGCCAGCCAATTCGCCGGACCTAAACCCCATTGAAAATCTATGGAGTATTCTCAAGAGGAAAATGAGGAGCACCAGACCCAACAACAAAGAACTGACAGCAAGCATCAAGGAAATCTGGGCTTCCATAACTCCCAGTCAATGCCACAGGCTGACTGCCTCAATGCCACGTCGCATCGAGGCAGTGATTAAGGCAAAGGGATGGCGGTGGTGTGGGGTGGTCGTCCGCTCCACTGTTTTTAGTTTCGGTTTTGATGTGCCGTATGTTTCTTTTACTTTTGTAGCTTAATAATAATAACTAATAGTTTAGTTTTTCCTGTGACTTATTTGCAGTATGATAAATGGTAGGGACATAATATACGCTCCCAATGTTTTGTTGGTCTTCTTTTTGTAAATAATGACCTTTTTTGCGGTTTTATTAATTAATTTATTTTGTATCTTTAGATCCTATGATGTCATCAAGTACTCGAGTTCTACTCGAGTTTTATTATGTTAATGTCGAGTTTAAAAATTATGTAGTTGTTCAACCCCTACTAGGTGCTTCATTTTATACATCTGTGGCCATGGAAATGGTTGGAACACCTGATTCTGATAATTTGGATTGGTAAGCAAATACTTTGGCAAGGTAGTGCATATTATATATAACCAAGTATTGAAGATTGACGTATCATTTTGAAAGAACCATATTTTGATTGATTTGTTGTGATCCTATTTTTTTTTTTTTTTTCTGCAAACACTGAGAAGCAGTGTGGGCTGATGTCTTCACAGTATTCTAATTTTTTGAATTCCTGTTTTCGTGGGTTTCATGAGCTGGAAGCCCAAATTATGTAAAAATAAACAAATAAATACTTGAAATCATTTAAATTGCATGCTGTCAGCTGAATCTATCATCTATTAAAGATTAACTTTTTGAATGAAATTATGGAAGTTAAACAGCTTTTCCACAATATTCTAATTTTTTGGAAAGGGTCTGTATTTATGTATATGTAATTCAGTTTATTTATATAGCGCCATGTCACAACAGAAGTCGTCTCAGGGCACTGAACAGAAACATCCACATACATAATAAAAGCCAGTTAGTAAAAGTTTATCTTGGGAAGTCAGCAGATTACATTGAATCTTCACATCGTCGCAGTCTCCCATCCTGAGCAAGCACACTGACAACAGTGGAAAGGAAAAGTTCCCTTTTAACAGGAGGAAACCTTCAGCAGAACCAGGCTCAGGACGAGAGGCCCTGGCTGGGATTGAGAGGACAGGAAGGAGAAACAAACACAGAATGACAGGTCCAGGTGTACTTTCTATTGGAGGAAAGACAAAAAAACACATGTTGAGATAGAAATAATTACAAATTCAACCAGGTAGAGTAGAGCAAGTAAAGACTGCATCAGAGAGAGGAAATGTGCTCAATTTGTCCTCCACTAGTTAAGCATATAGCAGCATAACTGATAGCTCAGGAAACCCAAACTGACCCTAACTATAGGATTTGTCAAAAAAGAAAGGCTGAAGCCTAATCTTAAAAGTAGACAAGGTATCAGTCTCATGGACAGAAACTGGAAGTTGGATCCACAAGAGAGGAGCCTGATAACCGAAAGATCTGCCTCTCATTCTATTTTAGGAAACTAGGAACCACAAGTAAACCTGGAGTGTGAGAGCAAAGTGCTCTGTTAGGGAAATATGGAGTAAGATCTGTAATATAAGATGGAGCTAAGTTGTTGAGAGCTTTGTATGTTTGTGTTAGTCAGCCTCCCCACCATCACAGACATCTACACCTCCAGATGCAGGAAGAGGGCCACCTGCATCTTGAAGGACCCCACACACCCAGCACACATACTTTTTGCCCCGCTCCCCTCAGGCTTGTTGCTTGGTTGAGGAGCATTAAGTGTAGAACCACTAGACTGAGGAAAGACTCCTGAATCTCTAACCAGAATAATCACTGGAAAAAAAATCACTGTAATGCAACTTTGATTGTTGATATGTGCTGCTGATCTCATGCTGCTGTATTCATTCATTCATACTCATCCACCCACAAAGACTCATATGTTCATGCTGCTGTTGTTCGGTGTATTGTTTTGCACATTTAGTGACTAGCGTATATCTTAGATGTTTTAGTGTACCATTTGATGTTTGTTTAGCTTATATTTTAATTTATTTATTGGATCCTGATTTACTGTTTCTTTTTACACTTTATATTTTTGCTATTGGTTGATATAACTTGGATCCTGTGTACACAATTTCATTCCACCTCATGTACTATGTGATGCGAATGACAAAGAACCTTGACCACTGAGGTCTAACAGGACCAGTATAGACCCAAGTTCATTGTTGGAGGCCACGGGCTCCCTCCACTTGCCAGTATCTGTCACTTGGTAGGTCCCACCTTGGACAAGGAAACAAAAAATAACTAGTTCTCTATGTCAACACAGTGTAAGTCCTATCCACAAGGATATATTGCACCAAAAACATGGTTTACTTGCGTTCTATGTTCAATTCCAGTCCAGATGAACACGTCTTGAAAACTACAAATATTCTCTATTCAAATCCCTCAATAATGGGGGACATCGGCGCACTGCTTTTTCGGTTATTAAAGACTTTACAAATCTTGTAAAAGGGACTTTAAGCTTCTCACAGTTGTTTGAAGGTTCACAGTCTGATGTGATCATCATTATTATTTCGTTTCTCTCAGGCCGGAGTTCTCAGTGTTTGTGGGGGACTTGGCCTCTGAGGTGGATGACTTCCAGCTGCATCAAGTATTTAAGAAGTATCCATCCTGCAAAGGAGCCAAAGTAGTCACTGACCAGTATGGGTACTCAAAGTACGTCAACTGCTGTGCACGAATCATACACGTTAAATTCCCTTCTGATGTACCATTGCATTGTTAATATAAAGTGTACGAAACTGTAACTAGTGCTTCCTATTTTTTGTGACATAATGATTACTGGAAAAGCAGTGCTATGGACCTTGAGCATCTTGATCTATTTTCGACAAAGGCTGAAGTAATGTTTTCTTGCCATCTTATGCTAAAACTATTGTTTTCCCCATATAGGCTAAGCAAGAGCA